CTATGAGGGCCCCGAGTTGGTGGCCGACAGCAACGTGGTCCTGGACACCACCATGCGGGGCGGCCGCCTCGGGGTCTTCTGCTTCTCCCAGGAGAATATCATCTGGGCCAACCTCCGGTACCGCTGCAATGGTGAGTGGGGACGAGGGGCGTGGCCAGAGGGGGCGTGGCCGCGTGGGGGCGGGGCTCGGGGCGGGGCCTGGGCGGAGCCGCCCAGCGCCCTGAGCGTCTCCCCCCTGTGGCCCTCTCCTCTCTCTCCCTCCTCTCTCCTCTGTCTCGCAGACACCATTCCGGAAGACTACGAGGCCCAGCGGCTGCGCCGGGCCTAGAGACCCCTGTGCCGGCCCTGATGAGGGAAGGCCTCCCCACGCCTGGCGGGGAGCCCCCGGGGCGGGAGAAGGGCGCAGAGGCCAATAAAGTGTGCGAGGGGCGAGTCGGCTGTGGTGCGTGCGTGGTGCGGCCCCTCCGCGGCCGGCAGGTCCAGGCCCTCCGGACTGACCGCCCTCGGGGACAGGGTGGAGGCTCAGGAAGGACGAGCCGGCGCCGAAAACGTTTCATTTTTATTACATTTCATTACAAAGGATGCAGACGTACAAAGACAAGCCCTCACCAGAGGCTGGGGTGCGGCCGAGCCCCCGCCCGCCCGCCCGCTGCGGCACCCACGGAGGGGCCTCGCGTGGGTCTGGCATGTGCATGCTGGGGTAGAGCCGGGCGTGGGGGGCACAGGCCGGGCAGGCTCTGATGGGTGCGTTTGCATCTGTCAGGGGTCCACCCAGGTACCAGAGCAGAGCCCGCGTCCGGATGCGAGGCCGTGGCGCTGCCCCAGGTCCTCCGTGGCCGGGGTGTGGGGCAGGCTGGGCTGGGGCAGGCTGGGCATGGAGGGCCCCCAGATGCCAGCACATTGCAAGGTGGGGCTCCCCCAGACTCAGCCGCCTGTCCCTGGGTCCCAGGAAGGGGGACATGGGCAGAGCCAGCAGCCAGCACCATCCCATGGTCCTGCCCTACCCAAGCTGCTGGGAGGGGACCTGTGGGACCAAGAAATGACAGGGGAAACTGAGGCACAGGTCACCTGGGGCTCGCTGTTGACCCTGTGTTGTTGTACCCCCGTGCCCATGGCGCCCCATCTCCCACCTCCAGGGGTGAATGGCGGATGGTGCCACAGTCGGGGCTGAAGTCTCTGCTCCAGGGGGGCATCCTGGGGCGCCAGCAGACCGGGCAGCCCTGTAGGAGTGGGGCCCGGGAACACGGGGGACCAAGGCGCCACCTCCCCAGGCCACAGGCCCCGCCTGGGGACAACACATGACTCCTGCCACCAGGTCTCCCACACCAGATTAGAGGTTGTTTTTGGAAATTCACAACACTCAGAATGCAGGCCTGGGCGAGGTGTGGAGGAGCAGGCAGGACATGGATGGCGGGGGCAGCGGCCCCAGCTCCCTGAGCCCTTCTCCCCTGCCCCCGACATCACCCGACTGTCGGATGGGACAGGACCCGGAGCTGCCCTGGAGGACAGTTGCTGGCACAGCCCACTGGGTGAAGGGGTGGGGACAGAGGGCTGAGGCAGGCTGCCAGCACAGAGCCTTCCCACGACACAGGGCTGACCCTCGCCCTTAAGCCTCAGGAGGAACAAACCCACTCCCCTAGTGTCCTGGAGGGTAAACTGAGGCCAGGATGCCTGTCTTGCTTCTGTCTGGCAGAGGGGTGGCCCCCACCTCAGCAGGCCAGAGGACACTGGTGGCTTGCACCTCCCACGTGGCCTCTCCCAAACCGCGGGGTTCTCCTGTCTAAAGGAAAGGGCTGAATCCCACCCATTGCCTTCTGGAAAAAAGAAAAGTCCAGGCAATTCAGGAATATTTCACAGAGGAGATCTATAAGCCAGACGCAGAACCCACTACATCTCTGCCACAGAGTCAGGAGAGCTGCTTAGCCTCAAAGAGCATGGATGCTTCTAGAAGGAGGATGTGGGGCTGCCGGTCCCTGGGCTGAGGAAGGCCCTGCCTGTCTGGGAATTCCAGGTCATCCTTTGGGAGCACTTCATGGGGTCCCCGTGTGCTAGCTGCGGGGGGGAGGAAGGGCCTGGCAGGGTCCCCAGGCCAGATTTGAGAACCGCATCCACACAGGTTGCACGTGAGCTCATTAAGGCCAGTTTTTGTTTTTTTGGAAAAGTTCTACACATAAGTCTGATGGCACTCAAACCACCTCTGCACATGTAGATTTCCCTAAAAAAATGTCCCATTCTGTGCCCAGCCCCCACTGCACAGCGTGGGCTGAGCCCCGGGCCAGCGGCCAAACAGCAGGGTGGTGGCAGGTGTCTGGGGTGGCCGGGAGATGCCCGCCGTGGCCACCTGGCTGCTTGGGGTGGGGGAGGAGGAGCAGGGCAGAAGGAGCTGGCCTGGCGCTGGGACACCAGGGGAAGTGGGAGGGGCCTCGCGAGGTCAAGGTCCAACCGGGGAGGGAAAACCCCTCATTTCACCTCCCATGGGAGGGAATGGCCGGCCCCATGCCCTGCATCCCGTCCCCCTGTCCACTGCGTCCCGTGCACTGCCCCAGGACCCAAGAAGAGCCGAAATGGTTACACACAGCCCCGCAGGCGGGCCCTGTGGCCCACATGGCCTCCCACCAGTCCCGGCCAGGCGCCGGCCCTGCCGCCGCCCTCCCTCTTCTTCCGGAAGAATCTGGGGGCCAAAACCCCAGAGCCAGACTTGGGGCTTGTGAGCCTCGTTTCCAGGCAGCGTCAGGATGGGACGGAGGGGTGCGGGTGATAAAACATGCGCGCAGGCGTGCGGCCGGAAACGATCGGCTAGTGTCTACAACGAAAATGTAAATAGAAATGGAGAGGGAGGCGCAGGACGCAGCCCCACGCAAAGACGCCCGCTGGGGCAGGCCCCAAATAACAGCATCGTGGAGGGCAGGGTGCCATGGGAACAGGCTGGGCGGGCTGGCCCGCACCCGACACTCCCGGCCCGCCCTCCCGGGGCCCCAGGGGCCCCAGGGCGGGCACCCTGCGGGTCCACTCTGCCCTGTGCCAGGCTCCGTGGAGACAGTGAGAGCGGAAACAGTCAGACCCAGCCCGGCCCCTGCAGGCCCAGCCCCCGAGCGCGCACGTGCCCAGTCTTGGCAATGGGGTGGAGGGGACCGGTCGGGGCCTGGCCCCTGCAGCCAGCGAGCGTCAGCGGGAGGATGGCCGGGCCGGGCCGGCGGGACGCTGGCAGCGCTGTAAGCTCAAATCACAAGCTCAGCCTTGGCGGGGACAGACAGACGGAGCGTGGCCGTCCCCCCACTGGGGGCGCGTGTTGGGGAGCACTGCGCCGCAGCCGCTCACAGGCGGTCCATCCGGAAGGTGTCCTCCGTGGCCGGGTCAGCCAGGACCATGTCCGGGTCGTTGAGCATGTGCAAGCCGTCCAGGGTCAGGGGGTCGATCTTCAGCTCATCCAGGGGGAACTGGCTGTCAGCATCGAAGCTGACGTCACTGACTCCAGCCAGGGAGCCAGTCAGTTCTTTAGACAGGCTCGGGGGGGACTCGCCGGTCACTGGGGGTGAGACAGACGGCTTACCCTGGGTGGCCAGTGCCGGGCTGCACGGGCCCCAGAGGGAGGGGGTCAGCCGTGGTGGGCAGAGAGGAGGTGAGCTGAGGAGGGGAGGCCCCGTCCCCGCCCTGCTCCTGCCAGGCTGGCTCGTCTGCACCGGGGCTGGTGCTCACAGTGCCCGTCTGCCCAGGTCACAAGCCTGGGGCTGCAGGGAACCTTCACCACCTGCTTCCCGCACCCAGGGAGGGCCGGGTGCAGGCCACCCTGAGGCCGCGGGGCCCTGAGCATGGACCCCTCCACCCTGGCAAAGCCAGGGGCGCCTGCCAGGCAGAGGTGAGTCCCCTCAGGAGTTCCTGATCTGTTGTCCTGGCTCCTAAGGAAAAGCTAGAGCCCTTCATGGAGTGTGGCCTGTGTCCCCTCCCCAGTGGCCGTCCCCGGTGGCCGCCTCTCCCCACCATGCGCTCACCTGTGAGGATGATGTTGGGGATGCTGCCGTGGCTGGCGTAGCCCAGTGGAGGTGCGTCCTGCAGGGTCCCATGGCTGCCTGTAAGGCCCATCATGGTGGCTTGCGAGTAGCTGAGCGCCGCGCCTGGGCTGTAGAGGGCGCTGGAGCCCAGTGCGCTCTCCATCATGTTGAACTGCTCAAGCTGGGGAGGGGTGTGGAGGGGAAGACAGCGGTGAGTAGGGGGAGGGGTGCCTCCCTTTGGGGAGCCTGAGGTCCAAGCTGCAGGAGCAGTGCCCCCCCCAGGACCTCTCTCTACTCTCAAGGCACAGTGGAGGGATGGATGGATGATGGATGGATGGGAGGACAGATGGATAGATGGATGGATGGATGGGAGGATGGATGGGAGGACAGATGACCAACTCCACATCCCTGCAGCTCCTCCCAGCCTCCAAGCCCTGAGCATGGCAGCCTGCACTGAGGCTGCTGCCTGGTGCCAGGCCTTGACCTCCATCTGCTGCAGGTACCAAAGCCAAGGCCTCCCCTGGCTGCCTAAAGACAGGAAGGGGCAGGGTGCGGGCAGGGGCGGGCGCTGGGCAGCTGGGCGCCACTCACTCACCTGGTGGGACAGTGCGTTGGCCTGCCGGGCGGCCATCTGCTGCTCATAGTACGCGTCTCCAAACACGCCGGCCAGGCCCGAGGAGTGCTGCGGAGGAAGAGGGGCTGTGGGGGGGAAGGGGGGCCAGGCCCCTCCCTGCCCCCATCGCACGTGGGGAGGCGGCCGCCTGACTGTAGCCCAACCTGGGGCGGGATGGGGGGACGGCAGGCCGGCCTGTGTCTGGTGATGGAGCACACCTGGCTGGCCCCTTGCGGAGGTCGGGGGCTTGTTTGCTGCCCTCTCCCTGGCCCGCATGCGCATGTCCTCCCTACCCCTGGCTACTACCTGGACTTCTAGAAAGATCTCAGTGTGCTCAGGACTTGGCCACGGAGCAGTGCCCGCCTGGCTGCTCCCTACAAACGCCAGCAAGCAGTCATCTGGGGATGGCTGCGGGACAGGCTGCCACGAGGGGAGCGTGGGCGGGCAGGCTCCTCTCACCCACAGGGAAGCAGCGTGTCAGGGGGAGGGGCAGGGGAGTGGGGGAGGCCTGAGAGCACCCCCGGCCCCTCCACAGATCTCCGTGGCAGAGACGGACGGACGGACGGAGACAGACGCATGGCGGCCCAGGGAGAGGCTGCTCTTTTAGCCTCCCCCCACCCGCCAAGTGGCCTGCCACCGACCCCGGCGGGTCCCTGGAGTGCGGGCGGCCCGTGCCCCGTCCACCTGGCTCCAGGACTGAGGGTCGGGGGCGCCTGCTACCAAAGCAGGGACGGGACAGGCCACCGTGGGGCAGAGGCCGAGGCGGGAGGGCGCGGGCGCCTGGCACACACACACGTGCGTGCACACATGCACACGCACACACGCGCGCCCATGCACACACACGCTCCCCTTGCAGGCAGAACGGCATGGCGGGGCGCGAGGTGAGTGTGGACAGGTGCCACGGGCCTCACCTGTGGGGAGCTCCCGGGGGAGAAGCCAGGGTTGGAGACAGGTGAGGTGGGCGACTGGTTGGCCGGGGAGCTGGCGCCCGTGCGGTACTGCTGCAGAGCCGGTGCCTACGGCAACAGACGGGAGGGTTCAGCCTGGCTGGGCGTCCGGGGAGCCCTGGGGTCCCCAAAGCTGAGGGGGCGGCGGCTGGGGGGGCAGGCGGATGGAGAGGGGCAGGTGCCTGGGGGGGCCGGCGGCTGGGGGGGGCCGGCGGCTGGAGGGGTGTGGAGGGCGGGATTCAAGGCCTGGCTAGAGCACCGCGGGGAGGCAGCGGGGACCCCGCAGGTTGGAGGCAGACACCCAGACACACGGGCCCCTCATGCCTGCGCAGGTGATGTGCGCGTGCCCAGTACACGCACGTGTACACGCACGTGAGCATGCAGTGCTCACAGTCACTGCAGGGCTGGTGTGGACCGACCTGAAGCCCACGTGCTGGCACACGCCGTGTGCAGACCTCAGGCTGGCCGGGAGAACCGGCACCTGGGGCCCCGGACACACGGCAGGCAGCCCACGGCGTCCGGGATGCGAGTCCCGGTGGCTGCCCTCCCGTGCCAGGCAGGGCCTGGCTCCTACCGCAGCCCCCCTTCCATGCAGCTACGCCCCTAGCTTGGTGTCCAAGTGGTAATCCCTGCCCAGTGCCCGGCCTGGGCAGCGTCAGGACAAACACCCCCCGTCCCTTGCCCCTCGCCAGGCCCCGCGGGACCCCAACCCCGCGTACCGAGGCCACGTCCATCCCCATGGAAGTCTGGCCCGAGGCGTCTGGGGGGGACTGGGGGAGGGGGGACGGTGCAGCGGCGGCCAGCGGGGGCAGCTGCGGGCCTCGCGTCAGGC